AGTGGAAAACAATGATTCTTCCTAATGTGATTGTCAAAGTTAGGATTTTTTTCCAATGACATACTATTGGAAGTGGGAATGGGAATAAGGGAGTGGGAATAAATTCCTGAATACACTACAGGTTTCATACAAGTATCATGGTCTAAATAAAGGGCATTTTGATTTTGCTAAGTTCCTTTCCAAAGGTGAATGCACTCAAGATTAGATGAAAATAGCATGGCATGGGGAAAAAGCAAAAGATTTAGAAAAAAAAAGAAGTCACTACTAATATATATATATATATATATATATATATATATATACACACACACACATATATATATTTAAATCAGATATTTTAAGAACTAAAATCCTGAACTGGAACAAAAGTACTGCAGGTAAAGGGCACTTGCCTTGCATATGGTCAACCACGGTCCCGTCCCTGGTATCACCTGAGCACAGAGCCAGGAATGAGCACTTCCAAGAGTGTCCCCACAATAAAAAAAAAAAAGAGCAACAAAAAGCCCCAAATCCTCTCAGCCAACATGATATAACATGTTTGTGGAATCGTTGCTCAAAAAAAAAAAAAAACACCATAATTCTGTTGATGTGGGTGACTTTAAAATAAAGTCTTAGGATTGAATCTGATGTAGGCAGGCAGGCAGACAGGGAAGGCCCCCTCCCAGGGCAATGGCAAAAGCCAACCTTGCAGAAAACGTGAAAAAACAGGAAATAAGGCCTGACAAGACCCTCACCCATCTACAGAAACAGACCCAGAGAAGCAACAGATTTTGACCTAGGTAGAAGCCCTACATATAAAGGTCACCTTGAGCAAAGGAAGATGCACAGATGCTGCCAGAGCCCATGTGCTGCTTGTGCCCATGTGGTCAAGCACATGTGTCACCCGCATCTCCCCTCTTGAAGATGTGTAAACTTGTGCTTTCCTGTCTAATGCTGGGATGTGTGTAGGGCTCTCTCTGCGCTTGGAGAAGCCCGGGTTCTCTCAAGCACGTTACTCACTTTCTCTTCCTCCTTCCTTCAAAACATCCAAATAAAACTGTTTCACTTCACTGCTTACCTACTCCTGAAATTCTTCTCTGTGAGGCAAGACAAGAACCCAGTAGCCCTGGGTCCTGGGTGGCAGAGGCAGATGGGAAGAAAGTAACCATCTTTCTCCTCTCCGTTTCACGTAAGTCACCCGTGGGGCCCACCAACATGATTTCAACCTGAGAATTCGTAGGGAAGGTGAAATGTGGCCACTAAGACAGATCACCATTAATTGAGAAACCATAAAAAAAACTTCCGCTGCAACCATGAACATTATTATGGTTATTAGGAATGGTTTACAATATTCTGTAATATGAGGGGCTGGCTTCACACCTCACTGTATAATACCACACCCACACCAAGGTTTCCAGTACCATCCCACCTCCAAAACAAAATCCCTTTACTAGATCCTTCCTTATTAGTTCCTCCCATCCTTCCCCATCCTTTTTTTTTTTTTTTCGGTTTTCTGGCTAAGTAGGAGTCAGTTTTCTTGGCATCCACCAATTTGTTTGTTTTAGTAATTGGTATTCTACATGACTTAAGTTATACAATTAAGTCTTTCACTTCCTTATTTCACTTAACATAATGACCTCAAGATCCATTCCCTGGGTCCCCAAACACAAAAGAGCACCCTCTTAAATGGCAGAGTGAATACACCATAGGCTCTTGATCCAGTCATCTTTTGGTAGGTTTTTAGGTTGATATCATATTTTGTCTCTAACACTGCGAATATCCCTTCTAAATTGTGTTAGCATATGTCTGAAGTGGTTCTGCTGTTCATATGGAATTTCCACTATTTTTTAAGGAAAAAAGTTACTGGCTGCTGAACAGCGCCATCATGCGGTTAACATACTACAGAGGCAAGAAAATTATCTTCTGTTTTGTTCTCCTCACTCATAAATTTTGTATTTAAAAAATGTGACCTATGAGGGGCTGGAGCAATAGCACAGCGGGTAGGGCGTTTGCCTTGCACGCGGCCGACCTGGGTTCGATTCCCAGCATCCCATATGGTCCCCCGAGCACCGCCAAGAGTGATTCCTGAGTGCAAAGCCAGGAGTAACCCCTGAGCATCGCTGAGTGTGACCCAAAAAACAAAAAAAAAAAGTCACCTATGAGATTAGAATGTAAGTGGATAAATGACATTTGGCAATGACTTTGTCTCTAAAAGGACAAGGGATGCTCAAATAACATCAAAATCTTTTGCAAAGAAATAGTCTGCTTGAAATTCTAATTTTTAAAAATTTAGATCTATCTAGTGCTATTCAGGGTCAAAGAAATACTTCAGAGGATTACTTCAATGCCTGATCCCCTGTACTGCATATAATCTCCTAACCCCTCAAGAGCCATCCCTTGGCGCAACAACAGAGTAAGCCCTGAGCACAGCTAGGTATGGTACCCAAACAAAACAAAAGTAAAATAAAATAAATCTCAAAAGCATAATTTAGTGAATTCAAAAGAATTCACAATCATTTAGAGCTTATTACCTTTACCTTTACCTTTAGAGCTTATGACTAAGTTTCAATTTTAGTCTAGGCAGATTTCAATTGGTAATTATTTCTAATCAATTTGCTAATCACCCATTTTCCATAATAACGTATCTGCAAATCCACCACTAAAAAATATATTTATCCTACTACCCATGTATGTTTTGGCTGTAATGTGATGCAAACCTCTTTCTGTATCCTGAACTAATCACGCCCTTGATTTCTTTTCATATATTTAACTGCACATATTTTTTATTCCTATCATATTTGTCTTATTGTTAGGACTCACTTAGCCGGAGAACTGCCATGATAAGCTTCTTCCAGGAACAAGAAAAGCAGAAAAACCAGATGCATTTGTCAAAGATTACATCCCCGGAATAAGATCAGGACTCCGGAATGTGTCAGGGAGGTGGGCTGGATGTTGTGAGCCAAAACAACAACAGCAAAATAGATGTGTGCTCTGTAGGTAATAGAAAATTGCTGAGTAATTGTCAAAATGAAAGTGTGAGAACTTGCCGAGGCAGATACTTGGACCCCAGCTGGCTGGAGCAATAAATCTCGCTATGTCATTTGCATTATCGGCTCTGTTCTCTGTCCTTGAGGGGTGGTCTACTCCAGACTCTAACATTATAAAACATAACTATATTGAAGAATATTAGGGAGGGTGGGGGCGGCTGGTGATTGAGATTTCAGAAGTAAAAACACCCAACTCTGAAGAAAATTGTAAACATTGATCTAAGAAGCTCAATTATCCCCAAAGCAATAATATGTATATAAAACCTATAATTTCTTTCCAACTCTGTGACCTTGGGGGTAAATGATTTAGCTTTTCTTGCCTCAAAGTTGGTATCAGTAAAATGTACAAAACACCTCAAACTTGACTGTTTACTATAGTTGCTACACACATTCAATGAGTTAATAAATGTCAAGGGTCTGAGATGCTTCTCATAATACGTATTACTCATACTAATTTTGTATATTATTGTCTTCTCTGATTTTTTTATTAAAAATAAATTGCTCTTTCTCAGAACATCCACGTATTATCATAGTTCCTTCAATGCTAAGCTTCTCACCCTCAGAAATGAGAGCAGAGTTCAAGTATAGATAGATCACCACTGCCATCTAGTGGCTAGTACTAATCAAGTCACCAAATGCGAAATTAGAAACGGTAAAATTTCTCCAAAGGTGAACTTAATTTTTAAAGAAGAACTACAGTTAATATAGCTATTTGGAACATAGGCTGTATATATTTTATATTCATTATATAAATATTTGAATGAGTAAAATTTTAAGCTGGCAAACTCTCAAAGACTGTAAAGAAAAAAAAGGTTGCCTGATAATTATAGTAGCAAAAAAAGGCTTTTTTTTTTAAAGGGCTGGACTACATTCTTTGTTTGCAGGAACCCTGGTCTCAGTCTCTGACTCCTCAAGGTATCCCAATCAGTGCTGAGAAAAGCTTCTGCTTTCTTGCATTTTTTTTCCATGAGCCAAAAAAATGGGGTTAAGTCTATTGCCAAATGTTGGGGATCATTTCCATGATGTTTAAGAACCTATAATCCTTTATAGATCTTAATTTCCAATTATATAAAGAAAGGATGTTGCATTGTTGACGACTTTTCTAGTTTTAAAAGTAAGTGATAAGTCACTGTACAACAGTGTCTTTATTTGGGGGGGGAGGGGATTTTGTGTTTGTTTTCATGTCTGCAGCGCCAGGGAACAAACCCAAGAGCTCAACATACAAGCATGAATTCTTCTACTAAGCCAAATCTCTGGCCCCCATGCCACTTTTAACACTATAGATTATACAGTGTATTCACGAGAAACATTTTTCTTAGGAGAAACTTAAAAAAATTTAAGATCTTTCCTAACGATCATTCTTTAATGCAGTTATATGGGAAAAATTATTTAGAAATGTAGAATGTGAAGTCAGAGAGATATCACAGGGGCTAAAGCACTTGCCTTGCATGAGACTGACCCCAGTTCAATCTCCAGGTTGGCCCACTGTCACCCAAATACCACCTGGAGTGATGGCTGAGCAGAGAGCCAGGGGGGAGTCCTGAGCAGTCCAACCCTCCCCCCTCCAAAGAACAGAAACATAAATCTGGATATAATTTAAATGACAAATAAGTTATAACACATACAAAGATGTTATTGTACCATTGGTAATAATAAACCATAATAGAGATTCCATACAAAGTACCATACAGCTTTGCTTTCTAGTAACAAAACCTTCTGCCCAGTTTCTGGTGGTTTAGTCATTTTTATTATCCCAAGCTATTGGGCAAAGCAAAAATCACATGACTGACAAATGCCTAAATGTTTTCTCCATAATTCCCATTATAAACATGCCATTAAAATGTTTTTTTATTACATGGCAGGATAATAATTCTCTACTCCCATATATTTTATAACCACTCTCAGTGTCATGATATACTCTTGAATATCTCCTTTCATCAAACAAAGCAAAATACATATAAGAACATTATCTACCTGGCAGCGGTAATTGAACTAATATACCACTGACTCTTGGGTCTGTGTTCAACTGATCAGTTATGTCCAGAAGTTCCTCCTGAAGAACATCCTTGGGTTTGAGAATAATCTCACTGCAGATACCTGGAAGAAAAACAAACACAAACATGATACATCACTTGACAACAAAGATCCCATGTCTCATGACTAGGCAATTGTTCCTGTCCCACAGGAAGGAAAAGCTTCTAAAAACTAGGTTTGATACACCATCAGGAGGAATTTCTCAGGCAATAGAAATGCATTCTTGTGATTCTCATGCATTTCTTGGCCTAAGTAGCCCATGTGCTGAATTACAATTATCTGTGATAAGGGTGCTGTTAGTACATTTGAAGAGAAAAATACTAATACCACCACCACTATTAGGTCAACTTTGACAGTGAATTAGCCAAATTTATTATATGATTAAAGCAGGTGCAGCCCTTAAAATGTAAAATGTTCCTCACACATCTTACCATGGGATCTGAAATCATGCAGAATCGGGTCTCTAAGAAATAAATATGAAGGGAGAGTAAGAGGAAAAAAAATACAAACTGTAGTAAGTAATCTATAATATTAATATGTTATTCAAATAGCATTTATCTGATGACTGTCTTTCATAATGGTCTCACTTTGAAGTTCAATCAGAAAATAGAGTTTGGTAACAAAGACGAGTAGGACGCATCCCCACCTACGGCAGATGCAGCCGTAATCTTCTTCCTGACGTATGTATGACTCGCAGGATTATCTCCCACTAGGATGATACTGAGGTGAGGTCTTCTGTTCCCCAGGGAAACCCAAGATTCCACACCTCGCTCTATCTCTTTCTGGATTTGTTTGGCCATTTCAGTGCCTGAGATGACAATGGCATCATGCCTATAAAAAACAAAAGAACAAACATTGTGGTTAATAAGGAAACATGAACAACATAAGTTTCAGACATGAGTGAACAAAACATGTGATTTCCCATGTGATCAACAAAATTTGGTTTTGTTCCAATATGTCTGAACCCATTTTCTAGGTTCATAAATAAATTTCCAATTTTGTGAAGGATCCCAATTCTGCTTTTTCATTTCTACATCATAATCTATCCGTGGGATGGATTTTTGTAATATTCATATGACATGGCATATGTAAGTTATAAAACCACACAGGGGAGAGGCAGATGAACGCAGCAAAGTTAGAACCAGCACTCTTCTATCCAGAATGTGGTGGCAGTCTTGCCAACCTAAAGTCAAGTGCTCTCTCTAATATGCAGATACAAATATCCATTTTAGTCTTGCATCACTGGTCCATATACTGATATAGATTAATACAATTTTTATATAAACAGTATTCTAGGCAGTCTTCTGAAGAAGACTGTTTATATAAAATTATTCAGGATGTTAAGTGATTCTGGGCTGGAACGATAGATAGCACAGCGGGTAGGGCATTTGCCTTGCATGGGGCCGACCTGGCCGACCCAGGTTCGATTCCTCCACCCCTCTCGGAGAGCCCAGCAAGCTACCGACGGCATCTCGCCAGCACAGCAAAGCCTGGCAAGCTACCTGTGACATATTCAATGTGCCAAAAACAGTAACAACAAGTCTCAAAAATGGAGACATTACTGGGCCCGCTCGAGCAAATCGATGAACAATGGGAGGACAGTGACAGTGATTAAGTTATTCTGAAATATGGTTTATGAAGGCAAACCTCAAAATGCCTCCAAGTTTGCTCAACTTGGAGATTCCCGAACCCCACGATAATACCCTTGGGATTCAAACCCTGAGGAGGAAACCTAGGGTTCTACAGGTTTGAGACATTTCCACAGGTGCTTTGTGCACATGGTTATGTTGGAAAAATCATTTCTTCAGTTAAAATCTGCTTTTGAGTCTTTACTGATGCTAACTTGTCACTAAAATAATTTTAATGACTTTCAGGACATGGAAATGGTGACAGATTCAGTGTATTCAATTTTACTATATTATTCTATTTTGTATAGCTGTCTTAAAGTATAATTGATATAAACAGTATGTAGCACTGTAGCATTGCACTGTCCTCCCGTTGTTCATCGATTTGCTCGAGCGGGCACCAGTAACCATACGTAAAATATAAAATTAAATGTTTTAATATATGTATATACCTAGGAAACCATTACTATAGTCAAGAAAATCAGAATATCCATCAGCACCCCTCCAAAAAAAAAGCTTTCGTATAGTCTCATAATTCTACCTGTTCCCGCTTATATCTCCTCACATCATTATCTTCAATCATGAATCTTTTTCTCACTATAAGTTATCATCATAAAGTTTATAAAACAGACTAATGTAGTATATACTAATTTTTATCTAGCTAATTTCGTTCTGCTTAATTATTTTAAGATTTAATCCAGGGCCAAATCAATGCAACAGCAGGGAGGGTACTTTCACTCATTGCACAAAGCAAGCCTGGGTTTGATCCCCATACTCCATATGGTCCCCTGAGCCCCACCAGGAGTAAGTTCTGAGTGGAGAGCCAGGAATAAGTCACTGAGTACTGCCAGAGTGACCTAAAAATTTGTTTAAGAAAGATTTATTCATATTGCCACACTACCCATAGCTCTTTCTCCTCAATATTGAATAGTTTTCTATTGTAAAGATTTATCTAAATATCTTCATCCATTCAACTGTCAAAAGATATTAGCTTATTTCTAGATCTTAATGGCTACAAACATGCATGCCTTGTATAGACATAAGCTTTTATCTTAGACAAAGACCTTTGGGTGGAATAGCCAGCCCACGTGGTGTGTTATTTTAAATTTGTAAGAAACTATCCTTTCCAAAGCAGTCATACTATTTTACTCATTTACACATACTATGAAAGTCGCTTTTGCTCTAGACATGCCATAACTTGATGGTATCAATTTTCAACATTTTAGACATTCCGGCGCTGCATTTTAGACATTCTAGTGCCTATATGGTTATCTCATTGTTTTTAATTCCATTAAAGAATGATGCTAAACATTTTTTGGCTCTTTATTTACCTTCTGCCTAACTCCTTTGATGAATAATATAATCCTTTCCATTTGATTAGTTATTTCCTTTGCTATTGAGTTTATTTTGTTTTGTTGTAGTTTAGGTGACATGGGTACAATAGCGTTGACATTCATGCTTTTGGTGTTCAAAGTTGCTGTGCTTCCATCACGAGCCAAAGGCGCTCTACCACTGTCTTTGTCCCTTTTAGCCACTGTTGTTTTTGTTTTTTGTTTTTTGTTTTTGTTTTTGTTTTTTTTGCTTTTTGGGTCCACCTGGTGATGCACAGGGGTTACTCCTGGCTCTTCACTCAGGAATTACCCCTGGCAGTCAGGGGACCATACGGGAAGCTGGGAATAGAATCCCGGGTCGGCCACGTGCAAGGCCAATGCCCTACCCGCTGTGCTATTGCTCCAGCCCCAGCCACTGTTGAGTTTTGATATTTCTTTTATATAATCTACATTTGAAGGCCTTTATCAGATGTTATTTGAGATCGTTTTCCTCATTTGTACTTAGGTACTGTTCATTCTATAGCTCTTGACTTTGTTGTGTATAAGACATCCTTGCTGAATTCTAGGTCACACAGGTTTTCACCTGTTTCTTTCAAGAAGTTTTATGGGTTCAGGTTACTTATTTTTTAGTCTTTTATTTATTCTTTTATTGAAATAACACTGCATTTTAAGTTGCGGGTGTATTCCTGAATATCAATATGTGTATATATACCACATTAAGCTCACCACTTCAAGTCCAATTCCATTCTTCACCAGGCATTTTTTACCTTGTTCCAATTTATTCATTCCCTTTCTCCATTCCCTTCTGGTAAATACTAATTTGTCTTATAATGAAAATACTTACTTTGGGGGCTAGAGTGATAGCACAGTGGGTAGGGAGTTTGCCTTGCTTGCACATGGCCAACACGGGTTTGATTCCCAGAATCCCATATGGTCCCCCGAGCACCATTAGAACTAGTTCCTAGCAGAGCCAGGAGTAACCCCTGAGCATCACCAGGCATGACTCCCCCCACCCTCAAAAAAGAAAAAGCTTACTTTTTATATTATTTAATTCATTTGTTTTCCCTAAATGCCACATAAATGGCATTTAGTCTCCGACTAATTTCATGAAACATGATTCCCATTAGGTTGATCCAACTTGTTGCAGATGGCAAGATTTCACCTTTTATAGCTGAATGGTATTCCACTGTGTATATATGTTACATTTTCTTTGACAAGTCTCAGTTGATGGGCATTTAGAAAGATTTTAGCTCTTAACTATTGCAAATAAGGAAACATTAAATATGTGTGTACACATATGTCTTGAATTTCCACTTTTAATTTGTATGAGTCATCTCCATACTGCTTTTCATATTGGCTACACCAAGTTACATTCCCACCAACTATATATAGAGGTTTCCTACCCTCAATACTAATTAATTACATTTTGGGCAATAACCATTCTCACAGGTGTTAGGTATATTCTGAGTTTGGTAAAAGTTTTTTATTGTTTTTTACCAGAATACTATCAAATTCTTGTTCTATGTCTATTGAGATTACCATATGGTTCTGGGGGTTTCATTTTCTTAAACTGCTGAATTACACTGATTTTCAATTGTCAAACTAACCTTATATATTTGGAATAAACTTCAATGGTCATAACATACCTATCATTTCCAAAAGTTAGATTTCATTTAAAAAAATTTTTAAATTTGTATTTCTGTACAAGGGAGGTGGGCTGAAGCGATAGCACAGCGGGTAGGGCGTTTGCCTTACAAGCGGCCAACAGAGCCGACCCGAGTTCGATTCCTCCGCCCCTCTCGGAGAGCCCGGCAAGCTACCGAGAGTATTCGATATGCCAGACACAGTAACAACAAGGTCTCCAATGGAGACGTTACTGGGCCCGCTCGAGCAAATCGACGATCAACGGGAGGGCCTTTACCTTTACCTATAAATCTGTACAAGGGAGGTATTGCTTTATAATCTTTTCATATAATGTTTCAAATAGTTTTGGTATCAAGGTGATGTTACCTACATATAAAAAGTTAGGTGTTCCAACACCTTCAAATTTCCAAAAGATTTTGTGTAAAGTTGTTATTTCTGGCAGAATTTAGCAATGAAGCATGGTCATGGAGTCTCCTTGAGGCAAACTAAAAAACTACACATGCAAATTATAATATAGGTTGTCATTGAGGCTATCTAGAATTATATAGTATGTTCTCTAGGCTGACCTGTGTGCATTCTAACAACTGGTAGATAGTTACAATTATAGGAAAAATCAAGCTAAGCTAAAACACATTTCTCATTGAGTCTGTGTTCTCATGAGAAACTTTTTACACTATTATGAATTTCCGGTGCCTGTTTTTTTTTTATTATATAAGTACACTTTTAATACTAAAGATACAACGACCTCCTATATTACCAAATATTAAGCACGAGTCTGCTTTTTAGTTTGTTTCTGGGCCACACTCACCGATACTCAGGTCAGGACTTACAACTAGCTTTACACTCAGGAATCACTCCTGGCAGTGCTCAGTGGACTGTCAGGGGATACGGGTATCAAATCCAGGCCGGTCACTTGCAAGTGACCCACCATACTATCCCTACGCCCCCTCATTACTTTGTAAATATTTTATTAACTTTTTTAATTGTCTTGAGATTCTATGAGATTCTATGGTTTATAATACTGTGAATGGTTTCTCATGCACATAATTCCAACCACACCCATCACCATGGTACCCACCTCCCTCTCCAAGTAAGCATGACTCCCTTTCAAGAGGACATAAATACTTTCCAGGGCCCGGAGAGATAGTACAGGGGTTACTTGCCTTACATGTGACCAACTTGGGTTCAATCCCTAATACCCATATGGTTCCTCCCCAGCACAAAGCCAGGA